CGCCGGCCGCACCCCGCCGCTGCCGCCGGCTGCCCCGACCGCAGTCCTCCCCGCCGCGCTCCTGCCAGGCGGACTTGGAGCGGAAGCTGAAGCCGAAGCCGAAGCCCCCGGCCAGGGGGTCGTCGCCGCTCAGCGGAACATCGTCGTCGCCGTCGCCCTCGCCGCGCCAGCGGCTAGCCAGGCGCTGCTGCCGCTGCGGGGTCGCTGCCCCGCTGGGTTTCTTGGCCGAACCGCGGATCGAACCCCCGGGGGCATGGGGGTAGCCATTGGCGCGGGAATCGGCCTCGCCCCACGCGGAGCGGTGCTCAGGGCCTCCCCGGGGGTCTGGTGCCGCCGCGGTCTGCGCCGCGTAGCCCGGAGGGCTCACGCTCTTGGAGCCGGACATGCCCCCTTCGGCCTCGCCGTCGTCTTCCTCCTCCCCCCGGGGCCGAGCCGGGGGTCTCCAAGGGGAGGGCGGCCGGCCGAGCAGGGGCACTAGGCTGGGGTCACACGTCGGGGGCGGCCCGGGGCCTTGCGCAGCAGCGGGGCATCTTGGCACCCCCGTCCTGAGCGGTGAAGGACAGCGGCACGGAGGGCTGGACGGCGAGCGCGGCCCGAGGTGAGCAGCGGCTGCGAGTCCCCGTGAAGAGTCCCAGGTCCGAGATGGAGTTGGCTCCTCTCTAGGGCAGCGGGTCGGCTCCGGCTGCTGCGCGGCGCAGGCACGTCCGGACTCCTGGCTCGCGTCGAGCTAGACGGGGACCGGAGTTGCGGACGAGGCGGGACGGAGAGGTGTCCTTGCGGGCGGCGCCTCCCGGCTCGCAGATGCTGCCTAAGCGGAGCTCCGCGTCTGTCTTCCGGACGAGGCGGCGGCTCGGGCTGCTTGGCGGGGGTCGCGGCGCGGAGAAGCTTCGGGTGCCCTCTTCTCGCAGCGGACTGGGAAGGACTGGGAGGTACGGGCGCCTGCCAGCATTATTTTCTTACAAGGGGTGGGGAGGTGGGATGGGGGGTGGAGAGGACGGGGGAGCAACAGCTCCGGAGCCCTGGGGGGGAGGGTCCTGGAGCCCGGGGGGCCGTCGCCCGCATCCCCCACCTCCCGCCGCGAGAGTAGGAACGGGGCCCCGGCGGAAGCCGAGCCGAGCCTTCGGCGCGTCCGTGCAGGGGGCGGGGGCGAGGACCGGCTCCCGTGGTGCGGCCCTTTGCCTGTCGCCTCCCCCTAGTCCCCGAGCCGCGCGGGACTGGCCTGCACCCGCCGGTACTGGGCGCTGTCGCTCTGGCTTCGCGATCCCCGGGCTCCTCGCTGCCGGCTGTGGGGCCACCCGGGCCAGGCAGAGGGCGGAATCCGGCGCGGCGCCGCCGCTGCTGTGCCCCGACGCAGGCGGGCTTCTCTCGCGGAGCACGGCGTCCAGCGATGCAGGGCCGGCGATCAGAAGCAGCCTGCCGACAGCGGCCCGCCGAGAAGCCGTGGCGCCCCGGGGGCGCTCCGA